ACAGCGGCATTTTGTGTCCGTTTAGCAGGACCCAAATGAGCGAATCTTGTCAGTTAAGCCAGGACTAATTAACGGCCTGGTTGATGCCGCCCTGAAGCCAGCGCGATTCGCCCTCGTTGCTAATAAACAGTCGGGTCCTTATGACGTCACAACAGGCCTCCCTGTCGAGAGGATGTCTGGGGGGCGACCCGGTGGCTCGTTCTCATCACATGAGCCAGTAGTGCCTATACCGTTTTAAGAGAGATGCTCGGGGTGAACGGCTGCGCTGGTTCTGATTAGCGCCGCATACGGGTGCTGGCAGATCTATCTAGGGCTGATTACCCAGCAGGCTGCCGATAATGAGCGTTTTTGTCTTTGCGAGATGTAATCGCTCACAGAACAGTGCAGGGCAGCAGCTCCGCTAAAGATGGGCGGCAGCGTTGTTGTTGTTAACTAAAACTAAAACTATAAAAAACTGATTCCGCTAACTGAAATAAATCTGATTTAAACAACAACAAAAAACTTTAATTTTAAAATAACAAAAAAAGTTAGAACTGCTGAAACAAGTTGAAATTGAAGTACTAAAATTATTAAAACTTTTAACCGAAGTAAAATGAATGCTAAATAGAAATTGTCTATCATTACACTTTATTTGCTCCGTTTTATTTTGTGAAACCTTACTACGTATATGGAATAACCGGTTTATAAATGCAATAAGCCCAGTGAAGCCGTGGTTTACAGTGAATTTATAACCGCTAAGGGGGTTTTAGGCACTCCGCTTCGTGTCGTGCCTAACAATGCCCCTCAGCTGTTATAAATTCACTGTAAACCACGACTTCACTGGGCTTATTGCTTTAATATAAACAATAACAATGACAAAAGCGCATACTAAAGTTAATAAAACTTAAACTAAAATTAAAACTTAATTTATATAATAGCATATATAATATTAAAATTAGTGTTTGTGTGTATATGTATATATATATTAAACAATTAATAAAAATGAAGCACATATAATGACTAAAACTAAAATAAAAACAAAACTAAAATATAATTTAATTAGAAAAATGAATAAATACTATAATTGAATATAAATATTACTAAAATAACATTGGGGTTCTGTTTTCTGTAAAATACTCCCAATTTCCATTCTGGCACAACATTTCATGAAACTATAATAGTGTAAAAACACCACTCATTCATGTATGCTTCACTCCTTTGTGTGGTTTTCCTATTAAACTGTTAATCCCCCCCCCTATAATATGAGACTCATTTAGTTATATAAAGACCTGATAGGTGAAAACAGGTAACATGACTGATGAACAAATATAACCATTTAAAAGACATTGTTCACCCCAAAATAAAAATCTCTGGTCCCCATTGACTTCCATTGTATTTTTTCCTTACTATGGAAGTCAATGGGGACCATCAACTGTTTGTTTACACACATTCTTTAAAATATCTTCTTGCAACTTGAGGGTGAATAAATGATGACACAATTTTTATTTTTTTTGGTGAACTATCCCTTTAAAGGGGTCATATGATGCGATTTCAAGTTTTGCTTTCTCTTTGGAGTGTTACAAGCTGATTGTGCATA